CAACAGATTTTTTTCCCCAGTGTTTTTTTTGTTTGGAGGGAAAGGGGAGTTCGGTATTTTTAGTTAAATCTACTGCCACAGCCTAGCCAGGCCCCCCAGCAGCCAGAGTGGGGGGGAGTTGGGGCTGGCCTGGTCTGGGGGTGGGGCAGCTGGGGGGAAGATTGCTGGGGCAGGCAAGGGCTGACATGACTCAGCCTGGCATGGGGGAGAGCCAGAGCTGCGTACCCCCAGAGAGAGGGATTGTCAAGCATAGTGAGCAGGGACACAGCCCCCTAGTGAGTTTAAAAAGGAGAGAGTTGTGGGAGCAGTAAATCAGTTGTACTCAGCTAAGAGAATGCCAAGCAAACAAGAATGAAGTGTTTGGGTTGCTCATGACGATGCATAAGATAATAGCAGGCCTCTTTCATGGAGGTGGGTGCACAGGAACAGGGGGCATTCATTGAATTTCTCCACCCCAACCTTAAATAGTTTGTGTATGAGAGGAGTATAACTGTAGTCCCTGCACTTGTGGAAGGGTGACAGGAGAGCACAGGTACTGGCTCCTCTCGACTTCTCCAGCGATGCAGAACCCTAATGGGAAGATGTGTAATCTGTGGCATCAACCAGTGGAATGGGACTGTGGTAGGATATGGCTTTACCCATTGAAGGTGTGTGACAGCTTCCCTGGCATGCCAAGGAGCTCAGACAGGAATTCCATCCTAACTGAGGACCAGGGCAGTGCAACGTTTCAAAGATGAGCAGTTTGTGCTGTTGTCCTCTGTGTGTTCTGGGTGTTTTGAATGTGGGGAAAATGTAGGCTTTTCCCTTTCACTTTTATTTATATCTACTGTATATTTGAGAGCATTTGTCTGTGTGTCTGTTCAGGAACTCCTCCTAAACAGTAGGAGCTAGGACCACTGAATTTGGTATATAGCTTCCTCATATCATAACTTGAAACAATGTAAGTGTTTGGCTGTGCCAGGAAAATGGGATGTACCTGGACTGGGATTGCTTCTTGTAAAAACATAAAAAAAGAGAAAGAATTACCAGTAGGTGACAGGGGTTGGCTGGGGGCGTACTCCCCAGCCAGGATTGCTCCAGCCCTGAGCCTCTCCCCGCCCTCCCCCCAGACATCCTTTAGGAAGGGCGGGGGTCTGAAGCTTCCCGCCCCCACCATTCATACAGGAACATTGCTGGCTATTCCCCTTCATCAGAGGCCAAGGGGAAAGTACACAATTTGCTGCATTCTCCACTGTGGCTAGAGAGTGCAAGGGGCAGATGAACCTGGACCTGCCCCAGCCAGACGACATGCACCACTCCCCTGGCTGTGCCCCTGGAGCTGCCGTGCCCATGGAGACACACTTCTCACTTGGCCCTAAGCTCCTGTCGTAAGAGAGGGCGGGGGTAGTCTTCTCTTCCCAGGGCAGCCTGGATACTGAATCCCTCATCCCCAGACCCACCCCAGAGAAACGATTCAGATGAAGCCTGGACGTTTTCCTTTTAATTTCCCAAACCCCTAAAATTATTTGAGCAATGCCGGGTAAATCTTTTGTTATATAGTAGAAACACATACAGCCAGCTGCTCTGCCAATCAGCTGAGTGGCTTTTGAATCTTTCCTGTGTGGCCGCCCAAGCGCTTAGCTTAAAGGAAACAATGATTGGGTGATCCCCAGTTGTTTTTATGAGAAAGATTAAATAACACTTCCTTAGTGGCCTTTTCTCACCAGTCATGATTTTATAGACATCTGTCATATCCCCCCCCTTAGTTGTCTCTTTCCAATCTGAGAAGTCCCCATTTTATTTATCGCTCACCATATGGAAGCTGTTCCATCCCCTTATCGTTTGTGTTGCTCTTTTCTGTACTTTTTCCAATTCCAATATATATCTTTTTTGAGATAAGGCGACCGCACCTGCATGCAGTATTCAAGATGTGGGAGTACCATGGATTTATATGGAGGCAATATAATATTTTCTGTCATTTTCCTATGGATTGCTTATGTTCTGTTAGCTTTTTTCACTGCTGCTGCACATTGAGTGGATATTTTTAGGGAACTATCCACAATGACTCCAAGAGTTCTCTGAGTGGTGACAGCTAATTTAGACCCATTTTACATGTATAGTTGGGAGTATGTTTTCCTGTGTGCATTACTTTGCATTTATCAACACTGAATTTTGTTGTTTGTTGCCCAGTCACACACTGATGTGAGACCCCTTTTTACCGTCAAGTTATTAAAACTGAGTACTTATAAAGTCCTGAGTTTAAGCCTGAAGCACTTTTTGATAGCCGAGTTCAAATAAATCCTCTGTAAAGTTGATTTGGTAGCAGATGCACTCAGGGCCATCCCTTAGGGGCCCCAGGTTTGGGGCAATGCCCCCTCCCCCCCGTGCCCTAGATGCAGGTTCCAGGGCAACTGCCCTACTCCATTCCTGTGTCACCCCTTACCCAAACCCTGCCCTGCCCTGCCCTGCCCTACCATTGGGCATGTGAAAGGTTAACTGGAGCAGTCTGCAGCAAGCCTCCCCGCCTGCACTCCGTTTAATTGGTTAACCAGTTAAACAGGATTTTACATCCCTACTCCACCCTCTTCCCACACCCTCCCCCCGAGCAATGTGGCTCGGGAGATTAATGGGGGACCTGGTGCAGAGTGGCAGCAGGGGTCAGCCTTCTCCCCCGTGTACTCGCCATGGCACCTGGATCCATAGTGACCTAGCAGCCTTCTCCACTCCTCCCACTCCCAGCCTGCTCCACTCTGCTTCTCCACAACAGCAGGAAGCGGAGCACCCAGGGGCTGGAGCTCTCTGCTTTCTTCTACCATGGTGAAACAGAGCACAGTGGGCAGGGAGAAGGTAGCAGGGTGGAGTGGATCAGGCTGCCAGGTCACTCGAACTCCTGCCACCGCGGTGATTGGGGCGGAGGCAGGGGTCCTCCTGCTGCTGCCCCATGCCAGGCCCCAAGTCCAGTAATTCCCTGTGGCCAATCCATGGGAGCCCCCAAAGCGAGGGGCCTTTTAAACAACAATAACAGGAAGCAGAAGTGAAGAATTCTGGGTATGTCTACACTACCACGCTAGTTCGAACTAGGGTGGTTAATGTACTCATTCGAAGTTGCAAATGAAGCCCGGGATTTAAATATCCCGGGCTTCATTTGCATCTTGCCAGGCGCCGCCATTTTTAAATCCTCGTTAGTGCGGACTCTGTGCCCGCGGCTACACGCAGCACGCAGACTCACTCCTGATCCAAAGGGCAATGTTCTGAAGGTCAGTTACATGTGTGAATCCAGAGTAGGTTGCATTTGTGACACTCAGCTCATGTTCCTGAATTCATAATAAAAGCTGAAGATTACTTGAATGTTTAGACAGATTCTCCTTCTCAAGTATTTGAGATCAGTTTATCCTTTTAAAGGGATAGTGCCCATTTAAACTAGTCCTTTTTAAAGCATGAAATTTATAGTTGTTTCAGGTACTCCCTCTGCTCCAGAGTCCCAGCCAACTTTTGTGCATTTACATTCACATTACAGTATTTCACTCCAAGAAAAAATGTCCTGCTATCATGTCAACACCCACACTGACAGACAAGAGAGAAGTATTAACAACCAATACTGTTGAATTCCAAAACAAAGTGAAAAAAGATACTATTTTTGGTTTCTAATCTGTCATTTATGCTAGTTAGAGATATTACTTGAACCAGTGGTGTTGATTCAGGAAAGTATCCCTTTTTCAGGAAGGGCACTTGAACATGTTTCATGTCTTTAGTTGCGATCTCTTTGACATTAATGGCATAATCAATATTGACATCAGTGGGGCCAGGATTTCATCATGAACTTAAATTCATAATTCATTTCGTTTCCTGAAGAGGGATGCTTTCCTAAATCAGGGTCAATGGCAGGCTGCAAAATTTCAGAAATTGTTACTTAAATTGACAATGACCATGTGATACTAATGACCAAATTAAGACTTGTTGCAACTCAGTTAACGTCAGTGCATATGCATCAAGTCTGATATGTGCATATGCATCAAGTCTGCAGCAGTTTTAATCAGAATCAGTATTGGACTGGGTCATTGGACACTGATTGTCCAAAAGCACATTCTGATTGGATGGCTGGGCATTTTTGATGACCTAACAACTATATATCAACTTTCTTTCATCCCTGTTGAGACTGTATCAGTGAAAGTCGAAACAAAAGATGTTTCAAACAGAAACCTATTCCCAATATATGAAATTGGATGGGTTGTTTTATTTCTCCAAAACCTGTAGGAAATGAGTCAATAATGATTTTTTAAAGGAAACAAAACATCTTAGTCCCTTCTCTGGCCTTCTTGATGCATCATGTCTAATCTATCTTTCAGACTGTCATTCTCTGGGAAAGACCCTATTTGTATGTTGTCTCAAATGTATAGGCATTTAACAAAGAAGAAATAGCACTGTTGTGTAATTTAAATGATTAATCTAATTCTTGCAAAGGACTGAGACATGTTGATCCTCTATCTGGTCTATCACAAGCATTTGTTATTCCTCCATCCTTGAATGTAGGTGCCAATTTGCCAAATAGAATGCTATTATCTATCTATCTATCTATCTATCTATCTATCTATCTATCTATCTATCTATCTATCTATCTATCTATCTATCTATCTATCTATCTATCTATCTATCTATCTATCTATCTATCTATCTATCTATCTATCTATCTATCTATCTATCTATCTATCTATCTATCTATCTATCTATCTATCTATCTATCTATCTATCTATCTACCTACCTACCTACCTACCTACCTACCTACCTACCTACCTACCTACCTACCATCCATCCATCCATCCATCCATCAAGATTCATGACCTCTTTCAGCCATCCAGATTAAACTGATTATCAAGATGGGTGTTCCTGGAGTGATAACTTCTTCGTCAATGACTTTCCTTTCCTTCAAATAACTGATATTAGCTAAGCTACCAGAGCTAGGACCAGCTGCTTTTCATGGGAAAAATGGAGGAAATAAACATCAACTCATTTATTTTTCCAGGTTGCCCTTGTGCTCCTTTTCAAATCAAATGTCATATTGACTCAAATCCAACATTGGAAGCATGTGGCGAGCTACAGCACATTGGCCCTGTACAATGTATCCATCAAACTGGAAGGAAGCCCAAAACCAAACCTCCATTGGCCAAAACACATCATCTGCAGAAACCCCAAGGCAAGTGTTATTGCTCCTCCAGTAGTCATACAATTTTCTATTGTGCTGGAAGTGTAATGTTTTTAAAAAATATTGTTTTAATTTGAAAATTACAGCTCTTCTCTCATTTATAGGGCTCTACCACATTCACAGCCATGCAAAACATGTCATGGACCATGAAATCTGGCCTTTTGTGTGCTTTTACCCTAGAGCGTACAGATTTCATGGGGGAGACAAGCATTTCTCAAATTGGGGGCCCTGACCCAAAGGGATTTGCAGGCAAATCACAAGGTTATTTTAAGAGGGTCACAGTATTGCTGCCCTTATTTCTGTATTGCTGCCTTCAGAGCTGTGCAACTGAAGGGCAGTGGTTGTAATACTGGCTGTGTACCCAGATCTGAAGGCAGCATCCCGCCAGCAGCAAGGATGGTAATGGCATACTTTTACCACCCTTACTTCTGTACTGTTGGTTTCAGAGTCGCGTGGTGAGAGAGTGGCAGCTACTGGCTGAGGGCCCAGCTCTGCAGGTGGCAGTGCAAAAGTAAGGGTAGCTACACCATAGCATGACACCCTTAATTCTCCTGCATTGCTGCTGGTGGTAGCTCTGCCTTCAGAGCTCAAATCCTGGTCCGCAGCTGCCACTCTCCGGCTGCTCAGCTCTGAAGGCAATGCAGCTATTTAGAAGTAAGGATACCACAACCCCCATACAATAACCTTATGACCCACACACAACTCCTTTTTGGGTCAGGATCCCTACAACGCAATGAAATTTCAGATTTAAATATCTGAAATCATGAAGTTTACTATTTTTAAAATCCTCTGATTGTGAAATTGATGAAAATTAACTGCGAATTTAGAAATTGCTTAGTATTCTGTGTGTACTAGATGTTTCTCAGCTAAGATACATGCTTCATTTATCGGAAGGAAATTTGATAGGCCTTTTCATAATACAGGCAACCCCTGACATGCGATGCGATTGGTTCCCGGGGAAGCGTCGGAAGTCGGGGGTGTCGTAACTCGAATCCACATTTACAATAGGTGCTGTGCGCTGTCATAAATGCGGGCCGAGGATGTAAGTTGGGGTTTTTTAGCCCCTTCCACACTTTAAAATATAGTTGTAAGTGTGGGGGGGTCACAACTTGGGCAGTCAGAATTCGGGGGTTTCCTGTAAGTACAGGCAAGATCTTGATTTAAATGAAGTTTACAAAAAGTAGTCACGTAAGTAAGTAGGTATTATTATGTTCCAATAGGAAATAACTGTCAAAAATATTTAACTGTATTGTACAACATGAAATTCCAATTTTATCGTGAAAACAACTTTCTGCCTTGTTGTTAATTAGGTATGTAAAATCCGGTTTAATCAGTTAAACCTCAGGTTTAACCGGTTAACTGATTAAGCAGGATTCCACTCCAGCCCTACCCCATGTGTGGGGGAGACATTTCTGAGACTCAAAGACTAGTCTTAAAGTGTAATATTGGTATATTAGTCAATTCTTTGCTCCCTATTGGTGATAGTTATTCTCTCCTAAATGGTAAGAGCTAGGACCACCACAGTCAGCATACCGCTTCCACTTATCATAACTTAAGGCAACATCAGGGTTTGGTTGTGCCAAGAAAACAGAAAAGAGACAGAATTACCAAAGCAAGTACATCCTCAAAATTGACATAACGGAGTGAATGTTGAAAGAGACTGAACCAAGATGACTGAGAAAAATAGGATGAACATGCAGTAGGATTGCTTCTCAATAAACCTTATAGAAAGAGATAAAATTGAGAAATGTTGGAGTAGTGCTCAGTTTTGGCACAGCTAAAATGAATGCTTAAGGCCGTGTTTCTCAAACTGTGGGTCCTGACTCCTCAAAGGGTCACGAGCAACTTAGAGGGGGGTCTCAGTATCACAAAGTTTGAGAACCCCTGGCTTAAGGTTTGAAAACTAGAAGAAAATGATATTGGAAACCAAATTGACAGTAGCCGTTTTTTTTGTTAAAATATAGCAATTAATAGTTTATAGGGATGAAATTAAAAATTTACCTGTTGGAATTCCCATTAAAAAACTTACTAAAAAAATTCAATTGGCAAATTTTTAACAATCCCTTTTTTAAGAAGTCAGAAATAAAAGTTAACTCGATAAAATATAGTATTATTGAAAAATACAATTATTTCATGTACATTTTCCTTTTATTTTTTTTAATTGAGTTAACCACCTGAGCAACACTGGGTAAATCTGCTAGTGTGTGCTAGTTTTAATCTTGAACTCTTTCTCTTTCAGATTTCATTATTGAACAGTTCATTATTAACAGTACTATAAACTATTCTGATAAATAGGAATAGCCAAAACCATACAGAATTTGGTTAAATACTGAGTGAATTCAAGTCATTGGCCAGATCATCAGCCGGTATCTCTCAATGAAACTGCTCTGGAATTAGTGGAACTGTAGGCATTTATAATAGCAGATCTGGGCCATTATCTGTATCTGCATCAGCTTGCTTGATTTATTCAGAGAGGCTGTGTCTACACTGCCCAGTTTTTCCGCAAAATCAGCCGCTTTTCTGGAAAAACTTGCCAGCTGTCTACACTGGCCGTTTGAATTTCTGCAAAAGCACTGACTTCCTACTGTAAGAAATCAGTGCTTCTTGCGGAAATACTATGCTGTTCCCATTCAGGCAAAAGTCCTTTTGCACAGAACTTTTGCGCAAAAGGGCCAGTGTAGACAGCTCAGATTTGTTTTGCGCAAAAAAGTCCCGATTGCCAAAATGGCGATCGGGGCTTTTTTGCGGAAAAGCGCGTCTAGATTGGGACCGACGCTTTTCCGCAAAAAGTGCTTTTGTGGAAAAGCGTCTGTGCCAATCCAGACGCTCTGTTCCGAAAATGCTTTTAACGGAAAACTTTTCCGTTAAAAGCATTTCTAGAAAATCATGCCAGTCTAGACATAGCCATAATGTTTAAAAGTGCCTGAAATTGCATTAACTTTGGTGAGCCTTATCGCCATTGCTCAAAAATCAATATTCCTGAAATGGTATATCCAGGCCTTCCCTCTCTTCTTCCCATAGAGCAAGGAATTTAGAAGAAACGGAGTAATTCTTTTTCTATCTTGCTGAGATTCGGTTTAACACCTGAGTAAAAAGAAAATTGAGATATAATAGACAAACACATAAAAGAAGGCATAATTTTGAATTGTTTATCTTGCCACAGGTTGAACCTCTCTAGTCTGGCACCCTCAGGACCTGACCAGTGCTGAACCAGAGACTTTGCCAAACCACAGGAGATCAATATTGTCTAGCAACCTTACCAACACTTCCACTACTTACTAGACATTTTGGCTATGTCTAGACTGGCATGATTTTCCGCAAATGCTTTTAACAGAAAAGTTTTCCGTTAAAAGCATTTGTGGAAAAGAGCGTCTAGATTGGCACGGACGCTTTTCCGCAAAAACACTTTTCGCGGAAAAGCGTCCGTGCCAATCTAGATGCGGTTTTGCGCAAGAAAGCCCCTATCGTCATTTTCTCAATCGGGGCTCTTTTGCACAAAACAATACCGCGTTGTCTACACTGGTCCTTTAGCGCAAAAGCATTTGCGCAAGAGGACTTTTGCCCGAATGGGAGCAGCATAGCATTTCCGCAAGAAGCACTGATTTCAGACAGTAAGAAGTCCGTGTTCTTGCGGAAATTCAAGTGGCCAGTGTAGACAGCTGGCAAGTTTTTCCGTGTTGCGGAAATGCAAGCGGTCAGTGTAGACAGCTGGCAAGTTTTTCCGCGAAAGCAGCTGCTTTCGCGGAAAAACTTGCCAGTCGAGACGCAGCCTTAGGGTATATTAAAGCTAAATAACAAGCTCAGAACACAGAGAGCCAGGACTGGTGGCTGTAAACAAATTTCATGGGACCACAGGAAACTTGCTCACACTCATGATAAGTGGACATCTGGCTAACTAAAATCATGCTGGACAACAGATGTTGCCACACCAGACAATGCCGGACTAGAGAGGTTCAAGCTGTAGCACTCCTTACATCCTGGATGCAACTCAATTTGACACTAGTCCCAATAAATAGATTAAATATATTCAAATAAGAAAAATAAGAATGTAAGCCCAAGATTTTCAAAAGTAGCTGTTGCCATCCTCTGCAAATCATTCTCCATATCTTAGCAGCCCCGCCAGTCCTGAGGGTCCACCCAGTGGAATCTCAGGAGAGGTTAACTTGTTAATCTCATAATTCTTTCAATGTTTCTTAAATTAATGGAGATTGCCTATCTCCTAGAGCTGGAAGGGACCTTGAAAGGTCATTGAGTCCAGTCTCCTGCCTTCACAGCAGGACCAAGTACCATGCCTGACAAATTTTTGCCCCAAATCCCTAAATGGTCTCCGCAAGGATTAAACTCATAACCCTAGGTTTAGCAGGCCAATGCTCAAACCACTGAGCTATCCCTCCCCCGGTACATGTCGTTCTTACATGTACTACACCTAATTCTGGTTGTCCTTTAGCTTAAATTGTAGAGATCTAGTTTTCTAGCCCTATTACAATATGGCTGTGTCTAGATTGCACCCCTTTTCTGTAAAAGGGATGCAAAGTAGACACAGTGCAATTGCAAATGAAGCGGGGGTTTAAATCTTCCCCGCTTCATTTGCATAAACATGGCTGCCACTTTTTTCCGGCTCGGGGCTTTGCCGGCAAAAAGCGCCAGTCTAGACGGGGATCTTTTGGAAAATAAAGCCTTTTCCGAAAGATCCCTTATTCCTCTTAAAACCAAATTAAGCCTCTTGATTATTCCAAATTTCCATTGCAAGTTTGGTTTCTATGGAAAATGTGCATCTGTCCACACTTCCTCATTGTATAAAACGTTCTCTTTGAAGGTTACTCATCAAGGACTACAGCAGTGGTCACTAACCAGTAGATCGGGATCTACTGGTAGATCTTGGAGCCTCTGACAGGGGATCCTGACTGGTTTGGCCAAGAGGCTCTCAAGTGCCTGCACTTCAGCTGGCCCTCCCCCCCACTGCTGCTTATATCCTGCCCTTTCCCTTGGAGCTGCCCCTCTTGCTGGGGAGCCTACTGCTTTCTGTGCAGGGGAAGGGAGGAGGAGGAGGGGCGCTGATATCAAGATGCCCTCTCCCACTCTGTTTGCTCACAATTGGCTGAACCGAAGACGTAGTTTCACACTCCTCTGTTCTCTCTGCCACAGAGTAAAAGGAAGGCTTCTCTCCCCCTGCATTTGTGCTGCAATATGCAATCATTTTGTAGCGTCTAAACACGATCAGACAAGTCTTAACACCTATCTTGAGTGATTCTAATCTGTAGATGAGCTGGTCTGGCTTCCAATTATGAATTTGTTAGCGGTGAGCTGAGGCCAGCAGCCTTGGCCAGAGCTAGCATCTGGTCTCCTAGCATTATGTGCAAGAATATTTCTTTTACCATCTCTCCATTCTTCCTGTGCACTTATGGTTTTCTTAAAGAAAAACAAACCCTATAGCAACTAGAGATGTAAAATCCCGTTTAATTGGTTAACCGGTTAAACATGTTTAATTGGTTAACTGATTAAAGAGGGTGAGGGCAGGGTTGGCGCACCCCCGCCTATGGCATATCCAACCAGGATGGATTGGCCCATGCCTGCGGCAGGTGCTGCGTTAGGGACCAACCTCCTGTCCATTGCAGGCTGGGAGTTGCTACATTCCTCTCTCCTTTTCTCCCCCTCCTGGTTAACCAGATCCAGTAAATCATTCACATCCCTAATAGGAACCCTCTTATTTTTTATGGGAATTCAAGGTGATCAGTCCAGGAGTTTAATCCCTCTGTTATAAACATATAGGAAAGACCTGAATCCTCAAAAGATGCACTTTATGTTTAGCTAGTATTGCTCAAACAAGCTGTGCAGTTTATATGGTTATACATCCTCCTGTCTATTGTACTCAAACACATTACATCCTCCTTAGTCATCAGCTTCAGTGGTGCTGTGACAACTGACAGCAGCTGGAGATCTGCTCCAAGAAGAAAGGATATTTAGGCTTGCTCACATCCCTGAAACCCTCCCCCAGAGGTTTGTCTGAGTAAATACTTCAGGAATTGGTGCATTAAATTTGTTACCAAATAATTTTAAAAAACAAACCAAACCCTAAAATTACTCATTCAGAACTGTTGATAATTAAAAAGATTTTACTACACAGAGCATGTTATGCAGACATGTTCCGTATAGATCTTTTTAACATAGCTGCTCTATCTAACATGAAAAAATTTAATGTAACTGCTGTTCTCAAAAGTTACTTAGGAAAACATTTTATAACTTGCGTATTGAACTTTTAGAATATTTCCTATTAGACAAATTAGGGATGAGTGACTATTTGTCAGCACTCCTGAAAGAAATGCACACTTCTGGATTAATTTCATTGTCGGTTTTTTTTTTAGCTTTTAGTTGGGTTCACTTATATGAAGTTGCTTTCACTGCATAAAACAGTAAAAGCGTGCAAACCTGTTGCCATGGGTCACTATGGTTACATATTTATAAAACCTTTCACTCTGCAAAAAATGACAAATTGATTGCATAAGTTTTGCTAAATTACCTTTAGTAGAAGGGACTAGGAAGGTCTAATTAATAGGTTAAAGTACAATGTTCGCTGTCTTTTTAACAGAATGAAGACATGTTTAACACAGACATTTACAGTGTGATATTAAAAGAGGAAGGAAATTTGTGAAGAATATACCACAGAGAAATTGGGGGAGGGAGAAGGAAATAAAAGTTTTTTACGTTTTCTTGCAATGTTTCCAGTACAATGAATGAGTGAGCTGTGCAAACTCATATTTTGCTTACAGAATCTAGTTAAATATATTAGAGTAAAAAAAATTCTAAATTTTGGCAAGTCACCATAAGGGAAACGGAGCACTATGGTGGAGATGAAGAGAGTGCTTGCACAACCAAGTCTTGGTATGAGCGCTATGCATCCTGTTTGGCAACAAGGAAGCAGTGGTGTTCAGTCTGTCCGCTACTTAGTGCTTTGACAGATCTAACAAAACAGTAGAAATGCAAAAGAGAAGCTAATCTATTTCTTTAGAACATATCAAAGTGCTTTTGTGTGAAAAATAATATTGGGACTTCAGTGGTTTAGATGTAATTATTCAACAGCAGTAAAACAATGAGTGCGTCTTGCTCTTTCTTCACAATGAGGATCTGTTGTCTTTGTTGGTATAAAGAAGTCAAAACTTTATTCTCTCTTTTAACCCTTACTTTTATTAGTACCTCCTAAGCCTGTCCATCTGAAACCTGGGCAGGAAAGAATTCCTCCAGCACCTTCTCGGCCCTTGCCAGCTGATCCCAAGTCATCAAGAAGCTTAGTGCCTGAAGAGGAAGAAACACAGACATCAGCAGGAGTCAATATCCTCATTGAAAAGTTTGAAAATATTAGGTAAATATTTGTGTTTATCTATATCTACTTGTATCATTCTATGCATTCATTTTGAAACTTCATCTCAATGAAAGGAAAATACTAATGTGTAAAATCCAGGAATATTTATTATAACTATTGTGTACTAATTCATAGAGAATAGTTTGTCTAATCATAAACCCTAAACTTAACTGAGTACATATGGGGACTTGATACAAAAAACAAGGTTGCCTAAAATCTTACTGGTCTATATCATGCCATCAGTCTCCAAATAGGAGTCTCCACTGAAATCAGTGAAGAGTTATGTTTAAAAATAACCTAGTGTCTATTTTTAGTAGGCAAACTTTGGGTGCGAATTGTTTTACTCTTTCAAGATCTTGATTACTCTAAAGTAAATGAGGCTTCAGATTTTATCGATTAAAACTCTATAATATTTAATAAATGTCAGGCAAACTGTTAAGTTTATGGGGAGGGAAAACAAATCGCAGCATATTATAGATCAGACTAATGTACAAGGTAGTTTCTACAGAAATTTCATTTGTTGAATTTGGTTGGTCAGTTTTCATATAAAATCAGCTGATCTCGCAAACCCTATTCAAAGGAAATTCCCATTGAAAGCTAGGTGTGCAGGATAGGGTGTGGGATTTAAAAAAAAGTTCTTTCCACTAGTTATGATATTTAATGAATTTTGAAAGCTCTGCTTTGATACAGGAAAATAGCATATCACTGTCCCTTTAAAAAAAGGTTGGGAAACCTTTTTGGGGTCAGGGGCCGCAGAAAAACAGTCAGGGGTCACACGAAAGTGAGAAGCAAAGCCCCAATCGCTCACATTCCCCTCACACATCAGAGCCGGGAGAGGGGAGTTTGGGGGGGACAAAAATGAGGAGTTCAGTGTGTGGGAAGGAGCTGCTGAGAAGCAGGCTGGGGCATGGGGTTTGGGTGGGAAGAAGGGTGCAGGAGTGGGTTGTGGGTTGGTGGGTCTGGGAGGGTGACAAACTGCAGGAACAGTCTGGGGGTGGGAGGGCTGGGTGGGAGATAGGATGCAGAAGCAGAGTTGGGGTCTGGATGGTAGGGGGCCAACAGGGCTCAAATGCCAGCTTCCCAGTGCTGGAGAGGAGGAGCCCTGAGTCTCGGGGGACAGGCCCCGGCAATTTGGGGCCGGATCCAGACCCTGGCCCATAGGTTCCCTACCCCTGCTTTAAAATTTCTTCTCTGTTGTAGGTGATCCCCTGCCCTGAAGGGATAATTCCATTGAAGAGCAGTGAGTTCCTGTCTTTACAAGGAAAAATATACTTTCTCCTTGCAGGACAGGAGGAATTTTAAAAGCATATCATTGTTCCTTTCAGTGGTTTTGCATCCTTAAAGCCTATTCCTAGAAGTGACATGGCTTTGTGTGCAACTCTTGAATGAGAATTTGTTTCAGTCATTCTGACTGGAATTTTCAAAAGTGTTTAACGCAGGTAGGGCCTTGCTGCCATTGTAACTGAGTGAAAATTGGGCTTGTAATTCCCTTAAACACCTGTGAAAATCCCAACTGCCAATTCAGATGATGCAAAGTGCTTCCTCTTCTTTTGTAGGCAACCTACCCACATTCTTCAAAGAAACCAACTCAATTTAACTTTTAAGATGGAACCTGGATTGGACTCTCCCAAACAGCCGAGCTCAAGTGACTGTGAATTGGTAGCTTCCTGTAGTAGTTCTACAAATGAAAAAAGTGAGCCAGAAGAAAATGATCCAGACGTCCTGTGCAGTGCAGAGCTGTCTAATGCAGACATAATGAAAATTAAAGAGCTCAGCATTGGGGAAAACAAGAGCTATGAAGACAGTTCTGCTGTGAATGAGAGCAAAGAGCCCTCTGGAGAGCTGGAGAGCAAGGACTCAACCTCAGAGTTGAATGGTAATGGTAAAATTCCCAACAGGGACAGTGGAATAGACAGCCCTTCTTGTAGTGTGGCAGGAGAGACTTTCCCAAATGAGGAAGGCACAGACCAGAAGAAATCTACTGCCGCTGGGAATCCAGCAGACATGGAAACTGACAGAAAGGGTAGCAAGTCCTCACCTGTAGAGCAGAAGAGAGACTCAACCCAGGATGAAGACAGTGATCTAGATGAAGGAAGTAGTGAGGAACAAGAGACAGCAGATGTGCCAAAGTTGGAATATTTAGATGTAAACAAGGTAAGATGTAATAGTGTAGCTGTCTAACCGATTAACCAATAAGCAAAAGCTTATAAGTTAATGCTATAGACTACATGCATTTCCTTCCCCCACAAGTAAATTTTTTAGCAGGCTGGCCAGCAGCCTGGCTCACTCCTGGCTTGCGATGGGTCTGGGACCTATCCCCACAGTGGCTCTACATTTGAAATGTATTAGGAGCTGGGCAGACAGGCAGCCCAGTTCGGTCCTGGCTTATGCTTTGTCTGGAAGCTCAGACCTCCCCTAGACAGGGGCTGCTGCCACCCCATGCTGCTGCTGCTTTATTAGTCTACCTGTGTGGAGCTTCTGGCAGGATCGGGGCCTCACGTGTTCATATTTGAAGTCATAGCCTTCTGGAGAAGTACTTGCATGTCATATGAGGCCTTGGTTGTATTTATTATAAAGGTGCTCATGCCTCTTTCTTTTTTATATAATTTGTGTGGAAAAGTTGCTTATTTAGGCTGGATTCTCTGTAAATTATATTGTTTCAAGTCAGTAATACATTTGAATATAATGTGTGAAGGGGTCCTATTAGGAGCAATACTGGTTCGGGTCTCTGCTGTTCAAGCAGTTCTTTGCAGCTAGAAGAGAGCATCCTGGAATACAGAGTACTGCAGCTCACAGCTGCATAATGTACCTAGCAGCCTTTAATTTTATATTAAAGAAATATATAATTAACTGCATTTACCAAACTCAGTAGTAGACCCTAGCAGCCTTTAATTTTATATTAAAGGAATATGTAATTAACTGCATTTACCAAACACAGTAGTAGAGGTAGTAAAATTGGTTGGAAAATTTTTCCAGCAAAAGATAAAATGTTGTTGTGCCTATTTCCTTGACAAACTTAGCAGGGTCTTGCCCATTGTGTAGACTTAATACTAAGTTACTGTTATACAGCAAGAATATAAGGCCTGACTTTCCTCTAATGTACCCTGGTATAAATTGGGAGCAATTTATTTGAAGACAAAGCAGTAATATTGGTCTGAGAGAGAAGAGAAATGTGTCCCTGGATCCAGGAACGTTTACTACCCTTCACTTCCAAAGGCAAATATAGCAACCCTAGTGACAACCCAAGTGACTCTTGTAGTGATGGGCTCAGAATGTGATAAGAATGTTTGTAACTCCAAGTGCATCGAGCAGTGTATTCTTCCTGTGGAACCATCTAATACGAGTCAAGTCAGACGGAAGGACAAAAACATTGATATGCTGAGACCATTTACTTCAGAGCAATTGCTGGCATTAAGGCAAAACTTGAAAGTTTATTCTGGCAAATGCTACGACTCAAAGTGGAGGTTGTTTACATTTCCAAGGAGCATGATGAATGAATACATAGTCCACAAAAAAATCTTGCCAGTGAAATTCTCATAGTTTATATAGCTAGGATTTTTCATCTGGGGGACCCCAAAGAGCATTACAGGCTTCACCAGTGATGCTCAGATGTAATGGTTTAGGGCTTTGCCTACCCTGCTGAGGTTAAGCACACCTACGACAGTGCTTTACCACGGCAATGTGATCACAGCACCCAGTGCTGGGAGAGCTCTCCCAGCATTGTAGGTAAATCACTTCCACGATGGGAATAGCCAATAGCGCGGGAGCCTGTTGACACTGGTGATTTACAGCCCTGTAACTTGCTGAGCTCGAGGTGTGCGTGTGTTTTTTCACACTTTGAATGAGAAAGTTACAGTGCAGGAAAGTGGCAGTGTAGACAAGCCCTAAAAGAGAGTTTCACCAGCTGTATGAGTCCACCAACCCAGAGCTGGACAACAGCAGCCATCCGATTTCAGAACAAATACTGAGAGAAAAGAACCATTGTCTGGCAGATTTAGTGGAACCCTGTACAAGATCAACAGAGGAGATGCACAAGGGAGCAAATCCAAATACGTTTTCTGTAGCTCAGTCACTCTCAACAGGAGGTCTGTGAATCCTTTCAGGGAGGCTGCGGGGCCCTGCACCTAAAACCCAGAGCCCGAGCCACAGCACCCTCCACAGCATTGAAGCCCGCTCGGGACTGAAGTTGGGAGCAGCAGGGCTGAATTTGCGCCTTGAAGGGAAAAAATCCTGAGCAGAGTTGGGTGGACACAGGGGTATTGCCTTCTTCACCCAAACTACAGCGCGAAAGCAGGGAAGTCCCAGGCAGCTCTACATCCCCCACCTCTTTCTCTCCCCATCCCCTGGCCAAGGTCGGAGGTGGGAAGCTGGAGCTGGACAGCGCATGACAACTGCTGCTCTGGCTGGTACCATGGAGCAGGGAGCTGTCACATTCTCACATCTCCTGCTGGTGCCCTGGGTTGAAGCTGCTGCTCAGCTCCCAACCCCCTTTGTGCCCACAGAAGCAGCCACTAAGAGCTGCTTGGGCAGGGGGACCCAACTCTGTACCTGGCAGAGCCCTTGGGGAGCAGTGACTGCAGGGGAGCGCTCCCAGCACACAGCCCTTAGCTACACTGAGCTACCCTCTCCCTGTATCCTAAGCTACCCTGTGCCCACACACACAGCCCCTCGCTACACTCCTGTCTGCACCCTCAGCTATCTCCCCGCCCCCAGGCCTGTGCACAGCTCCTAGCCACCTGCACCCTGAATGATTTTAAACTTTCTGAGCTGAGCGTCCACCTTTCAGCTGCAATTTTTGGTGGTACCTTCCCCTCCAAACACTACTTTGAGTGGGTGTCCTACTGAAGTGAGTCGGGGGAGGAGCTGGGGCTCTCTCCCTGGACCTGGCTGTGTGAAGCTGGCTTGAGGCCCAGTGGCCCTTGTCCACCCAATATAGGAGTCAAACTACAGCTGTGCTTGAACTGCTGCCCTAAAGCTCTTCCTCTCCTACTGGGCCTGTAGCCTCTATAGCTTGTTGGGGGGGGAGAGAAGATAGCTCAGAAAGAAAAAGGTTGAGAGCCCCTACTAGTTTAGAAGAACTGCAAAGGCTCTGAGAACCATGATCCTGACAGATTTTACACCACTGGCACTGGACAATGAGGACTTAATAAAGGTCCGGAGCTACTGTGGACCAGCTGTGGACTGGCGTAGATGCTTTGGACCTAAACATTTGTGGGGAGGTAAAAATGGAGATGCGCAAGAATCAGGATATGGAGGCTTGAGAATCTGGGGGCTGTCTGGGCACCCAGGAGGGCTGCAGGATCTACTAAGGCCAAAGGAAATCTGCATAACTTAGGGGAGCTCTGCATGGACTCTGAGTGAGGGCTAGAGAAAAAGCCCCTTGGAACACAGTGCTGCTGCAAGATTCATCAGAAACTGCTGGGGAAGGATTCAGGGTGGGGGACACAGTGGAGCTCTTCAGGTGTGTGAGTCCCTTGATCTAGAGAAGTGGGCTCCTCTTTCCTCTCTCTGTGCCCCACGCTACACTTTCTATTCATTTTCCAAGCTTGATTCTAAGCAGGCCTTCTAAGCCTCATAAAACTGGCTGCAGTTTTTAGTAGGTCTTCAGGAACCATTTGTTTGTCAAGTCCACATTCAAGTCTGCCAGTACTGTGGGTTTCTGATCTCTTTATAAAACATTCACGCTAGTCTATGCAGACCCCATAAAATCATTAGGCCCACGGTTCCTACCAGGATTTACAGCAAGTCTTGGAGACTTCAGAAGAGCTGTGCTGCAGGCAAAGCTGGGAGGAGGAACAAGATGCAAGGTACAGAGCCTGAGGAAGTATGGGAAGGCTGGGCATTGAGGGGAAATACCATGGGAAAGCCAGCTGAGAAGTGGGAGACCTAATGGGGGCTTCAGGAAGCTCTGGTGGAATTCTGTGGTTTGAACTAAGGATAGGCCCATAAGTGCTGACTCCATGGGTGCTATGAGGCTGGAACACTCGGGAAAAAGCAGTGGATGCTGACAAGCACCCACTGGCCACCCCCTTATCAGCATTGCCCTCTCCCCCGTGTCTCCTTTGCGGTAGGTGCTGTGCAAGCACAGAACAAAAAGACAGCCCTTATCCCAAGCAACTTGCAGTCATATCTACTGGTGAGAGCAGCAGCAGGTGGATGGACACTGCAGTGATGTGGGTAGTATAAAAATAGAGAGGATACTTTTATAGTAGCCATACCACTGTGCAAGTGATATGTTTTTGTTTTTGGTTTTCACACAGGAGATTCTTTAAGACTTAATTTTGGAAATACTGTATTTCTTTGGTCTCCTGTGATAAACCTTCTACCTCAGTGGGGATCTGGAAACAGGAAGCTGGCTTTAAGAGGTGGGGGGCTGGCACTGAGGCATTTGAGATGGAGGCCTGGCACTGGGGAGCTCTGAGGGCAGGAGGCTGGCACTGGAGGGCTTGGGTGCAAAGGATTCTGGGGTGAGTTGCTGGCGCTGGGAGGTAGTGGAAGGGTGCAGGGGGCTCTAGGAGCCAGTACTTTTTATACCGTGGACCAGCAAACCTATTCATAAGCTCTTGGTGGACCTGTAACATTCTGTTTGCATATCTGAATATTCATTATTTGCAGCAAAAGTTTGTGAGGGGTTTGCTGGTTGTGGAATAAAAAAGGTTGGGAACCACTGATCTGGTCCAGTCCCCTGAAGTCATAGCAGGACCCAGCACCATCTAGACCAGGGCTACTCAACACGCAGCCCGCGGGCCACATGCAGCCCGCAGCCCATTTGTTTGCGGCCCACGGTGCGGTTTGGGTTTACGTGGGGCTCAACATGCGGGCCACTGGTGGGATCCTTTCAACATGGCCTCCACTGGGAACATGATCCACAATGGAAAGGTGTCTCCCAGGTGGGGTGAGCATTGAAAGATGCAAGCGGATGGGCTGGCTGGAACAGACGGGTACAGGGTGTCGGCATTTCTAGCCCCCAGGAAGGAGGCGCTGGGAACCCCGGGGCATTATGGGAAGTGCTGGCTGCTTAGCCTTGTCAGCAGAGCCCAAGAGGTGCTGGTTAGCTCACGCTGGCCATATTTGGGTCCGGCGCTGTGGTTTAAGGCTTAATCTTTGTACAGATGGTCCCCGACTTGTGACACGATCAGTTCCTGGGGAAGCAT